ATGCTTTCAGTACCTTCTTGGTACATTATTAATGATATTTACATTATCTTATCAATATATATATATATATATATATATATATATATATATATATATATATATATGCACACACAGTTTAAGACAAGTTAAGCCTTATTCATTAACTTGAAAGGTAGTCAACATACCGTTGCAGTGGTATCTGCTGCCCGTGGCTGCACTCCTTTGAGACCTACAACCCTACAGAGTGGTAAAGCAATAAAAGAAATCATCAGTTAATGACTTCAGAACTTCAAAAATCTCTGAAATGGGAAACTACGTAAGGGAAAACAAGAAGCACAGGGCAAGTAGCACACTGCCTTGGAATACGTACCAACCACCCCTAGGAGCATCGGAATAAGAGCTTGGATCCATGGGATCCAGCTCGTCATCCTCGTCATTGCGTTTCCGTTTGTCTTTTTTGTTACTTTTACCAATTGGTGGTTTGGAACTGGACCTGCAGTCCAAATGATCAGATAAGACTTAGAAAATTAAAAAAGATCCTCGTTGATCTATATGCATGAACATGGTTAAACAGTATTCTCAATTAGTTTCAGGTATTGCAGTGAAAAGCTTCCCCTTAAACTAGTCCAAACGGTAGTTAATTGTTACTACATGCAGCATGACACAATTGTTCTGACATCTTCTGCTGTCATCATTTGTATTATCATCATCATTTACCTGGCAAACTACTTACCTCCAGTGAAATAAAGCAAGGATGAGAGTTGCTCATGACAAACAAGGGACAGAGCTAGTTAACAGAAACTTTTTCTAAGAAAATACTTCCATTGTCATCTATATCTACTGTATTTCACCAATATAAGTTCCAAAATAGTAATAAGGAAGAATGTAGAGATAAAAACATTCATTTAAAGTTTAAAGGGATAAAGCATTTAGTTCATTCACTAACTAGTATGATGATACACCACTACTAAGTACAAAACTAACATGCAAGGCTTCGATATGACGAAAACTTAAGCATCATTATCATGGACAAAAAGAACTAATGCAACATCAAAGACCTGAATTCCTAATGGGAATGTATACATATCAGGAAGACTACCGTCAGAAACAAGTGAGACCCCAATGGTGCAGAATCAGGATCCGACGCTTAACTTTAATATCCACGCACGCTTACTTCCTCTCAGTTTCTCTTAAAGATCTAGACAGGGGAAAAAATATACAAAAAGAAGAAAAATATGAGAGAAATTTGAAATATGTGACCATAATTGAGGACAAGAGACTATACTTTCTGCATCCATATCACTTAGGGCATGTTTGGTATGAAGGAGAACATTTTCTCGAAAATGTTTTTCAATTTTCTCATGTTTGGTTGGCCTAAATGTTATGGAAAATATTTTCCTAATGAACTCATTTTCCTCCATTTGGACGAAAATTACTTTCCTACCAACAGAAGGGAAAACATTTTCCAAAACTCTCTTCCAACTTTCCCCACCCCTACTGTCACTCCCTCAAATCCACAACCTCGCCAGCGTCACCACCCAAGGCCCCCAAAACCCGTCCTACCACCTTGCACCCCGACATCACCACACCCACCCACAACACCCCCCTCCTACAGACCTACCCTCCTACCCCACGCCCCGGCCTACCTCTCCCCTCCCCCCCCGCCCAAAATCTTGCCACCGCTCCCTGCCCGACCCGGACTTTACAATCCGAAACACGAAAGTCGAGGACCGGGTGTTAGTGTCAAGGTCGGGTTCAGGATCTGGGGTCGAGGTTCGGAGTCGGGGCCAGGTGTCAGTCAGAGTCGGTGTTCGGGTTGGGTGCCAAGGTAGGTTTGGTGTCCGGGGTCGGGTCTAGGTCCGGGATTATAGTGTTTGCTTAAATTATATATTAAAATGCTCTTGGGACAATATTTTCTCCTTATTAATCAAACACCAGAAAATAAGTAAAAAATGCTTTCTTCCCGGGAAAATATTTTCTAGGAAATCATTTTCCATCATACCAACATACCCTTAATATGCCTCCACTTCAATTCCCAGAAAAAGTAATGGCTCTTTTCTTTCCCCTTCAATAAAATAATCTTCAGGTACACACCTCCCTTAACACCACCAACAAGCCCCTTCACCCGGGAGATGTTGGAAAAGAAAAAAGGGATAACGGAGAGGCTTAATAACAGTAAACAGCACCAGAGAAGCCCATGGTTTTTCTTTAAACAAAACCAAAGTGTACCTATAAAGCTGTTTAGAAGTAATAGACTTGAACAGTGAACAGGCAGCATACCTCTGTCCCTGAAACCTTTTCTCAGTGTCGTCCGTAGCACCTGCATAGCCAGAAGTTTGCTGTTGTCTCTCCACATTTGCTGACAGATAGTGGCTTTGAGGAAGCTTAAGAACTCTGCATCCAAAACAGTATCAATGTTCAGAAGAATGATGCATCCTAGATAAGCATGATCGTTGAATTTGAGACAGCTCCTTTAAATGATTAGCTGTGACCCACGGAATACTTTTATTTATTTAAGTCTAAAAAATTACCCCTCAATTGTGGTTAATTCTATTTCTCAAACTAAGATTGTGGAGACAACAACAACAACAACAACAACAACAACAACCCAGTATAATTCCACTTAGTGGGGTCTAGGGAGGGTAGTGTGTACGCAGACCTTACCCCTACCTTGGGGTAGAGAGGCTGTTTCCAAATAGACCCCCGGCATCCTTCCCTCCAAGAACTTCCCACCTTGCTCTTGGGGAGACTCGAACTCACAACCTCTTGGTTGGAAGTGGGGGTTGCTTACCATCAGAGCAACCTTTCCACAAACTAAGATTGTGGAGACAGTAAAACTCAAATCCAAAACCTTTCCATGCTCTAATATGATGTTGAATTTGAGTAAACAACCTTCTATAAACGCTTAAGTGGTTCGCGAGAAAATACTTACTCCCTCCGTTTCATATTATTTGAGGTAGTTTGACTCGGCACGGAGTTTAAGAAAAAAGAAGAAGACTTTTGAAACTTGTGGGCTTAAAAGCTTAAGGGGTAAAAGGTTCGTGGGGCCATGCCATTTGTATGGCTATAAAATCTTCTCATTAAGGGCAAAAAGGGTAAAATGAAGAGTTTAAAGTTGAATTATTTCCAAATTTAGAAATGTGCCATTTGTTTTGGAACAAACTAAAAAGGAAAGTACCTCATTTAATATGAAACGCAGGGAGTATATTTTTTTGTTTAAGGTCTATGACAATGATAAAGTTTCGAATGATGCAAACTTAATGATTTACATTCAGTGGACTATAACCATGTTCACAGACACTGTGATCCAATGGTTTTACAGGCTGTTTTTAAATCTAAAGTACCAGTACGAACAAGGGAGTTATATAACAACCTAGTTATTTGTTATGGATCAGCTTTTTTATTCAAATTTCTTTGTCTAGCTTAAGCAAGACAAAAGAGGAACTTGAAATCTAAACAAGCAGAGGCACTAGAATTTCTTTTAACTATATAAACTTGTTTCTCAAACTTGCTCTTTTTCTCCTCAAACTAAATAAAGTCAGAAAGAATTTTTAAAGAAAATGCTGAAAATAACCTGTTAGAAAATACACTTGTCCCCCATTTGTTCTGTAAGGGTTTCCAAAGGGTTTATAATGTCTTGAGGCACTCCACCCATTGCCTCAATGTCTTGGAAAATTACCCATACTCTTTGATTGACTTTGACATGGTTTCAGAGCCAAACACTGGTAGCCCATTTGCACAACCGTCTTCTCTCGACCTACTCTGTTGCTTTGGACTTGTCCTGCAACTCAGCCCATCGAACCATTAACTTTCCTCCGGTTCTCTCTCTCTCCCCCCCCCCCCCCTCTCTCAGCTCGAATACCACTCTTTAGCCTAATGAGTTTGATCTCTCTTTACATCAGGTCCAAATTTTAGTCCTCTATAAATTTGACAAAGAAAAGTCTTCAATCCACGTGTAAACTCTAGAAGTGAGTTACATGTATAGAAGGATGCTAGAAAATACAATTGACCCTCATTGGTTGTGCAAGCGTTTCTAAAGAGGTTTATAATGTCTTGGGCCACTCCAAACTTAAGGTTTTTGATTGGATACTCAAATTATTTCACAGAACCGAAAACACTAAACTCAAAGAACCCTTCTAATTCAACTGCATGTAGTAGATATTGGACTGCACATATAGGCAGTGCAGTACATTAACAGCAAGCAAATAGGAGAGCAAAAACAAGAAAGCACTAAAAGCTGCAATAAAAGTTTAAGTTGGAATCCTGCTCAAGAAAGGGTACTTGTACGCAGTACCAATATACGAGAACAAAGACAAGACAAGTAAACACAAAAATGTCAAAAAGAGAAAAATATATACATTGACAACACACCTAGATATTAGACTGCACATATAGGCAGTGCAGTAACATTAACAGCAAGCAAATAGGAGAGCAAAAACAAGAAAGCACTAAAAGCTGCAAAAAAGTTTAAGTTGAAATCTTTCTCAAGAAAGAGTACTTGCAACAAAAACACAAACAAGTAAACACAAAAATGTCAAAAAGAGATAAATATATACATTGACAACATACCTAGTGCAGTGTTTGCAATAACCCCACGACTGTACAAGGTCCACGCCCCATCCACCACATTCAATGCATTTCTGGGATGTGGAAGCTTGATCACCCCAAGTTATATTGGTTGCATTGCTTGCAACTACTCCATCATGGTGCTGCATGGGAACCTGCTGTGGTTTAGAAGGATGCTCCCATTGTGATACATTCGTCTTTGAGTTATAGTAATATTTTTGACCTGCAAACACAGTTTGTAATATTGAAAATATAGGTTCAATATGATATGAAAATGTCAGGAACTCATACAACAACGTTTGCACTTGGAGTACTTTGACAATTAGATAGCGATAATAATCAAAATTGTGACTAGATAAGACTGATACCTTAGATAAGATTCTCTTTGTTTATTTGTCTAGCAGTAAACAAACACACAATGTACAACTGTTACACCCTCACCAGTTCAAAAAGAGAGAAAAAAAGGCACGTCAAAGTTCAAACTATGATGTACAGGGACCCCCATGGTCGTAAATTATGCCTAGTTGGGCAGTGACACAATGGAGCTGCCCCAAAATGATAAAGGAGAAATGTAACAGGACCTCTGGATTTAGGGGTTTGGAAAATCAGTACAGTTATCCCAAGCATTACTGCACCTTCGACTATATTTTATTTTAAAACACGGCTTTTTAACATACAACAACTACAAACCCAGTGTAATCCCACCTAGCAGGGTCTGTGGAGGGTAATGTGTACGCAGACCTTATCCTTACCTTGTAAAGGTTGAGAGGCTGTTTCCGATATACCCTCGACTCAAGGAACAGTGAAAAGGAAGCGACAAACAATAACAACAAGAAATAAAAAAGACACGTGTAATAACAAAGATCTGGAAAAATTAATGTGTCAGGAAATGATTACAGCAATGAGAAAAAATTTAAAAAGGAAAAAAAGAAGAATATCAAGATAATCAACAGTATGCCACCAAAGATCAAGAGACCAACTTATCAAATTGCAGTTTTCATATGTGTGTTTTGTGCTCTGAGCAACTTGCCGAATTGCAACTTTAGTCCCTAGATTTACAAGTTGAAGCACTTCAGGACCTTTGGTTTTTTCTTATGAAGGAAAAAGAAGACTAAGCCTAACAAAACATACCATATCGAGATTATTTATGAGATATATACAGATGTAAAAAGTTGTATGTCTCCAACTGAAAGGAATTTCTGTTCTAGCATGGAAAATAGATTGCTTTTAAAGAGATCTATTTTGCGCCGGTACAGAAAACACAAGTACTAATAGTTTATGTAACCAGCAGTCCATATGAAATCTACTCATTTTACCCTCGATGGGCTCTTGTAACACGAGTAGACAAAGAAGGATCATTTACCTGAAGTTGAAAATAAAGGCTTATACACATCTATAAAAGGGTTGGGATTTGGTCCAAAGTCATTCAGCTATATATCTAAGTCCTTCCATTTACGTCAAAGAGCATCGGGCCTACAAATAGGAAGGCATCCACCATTCATTGTACCAATATGACACTTTTGTTGAGGAACTAATAGCTTCATTTGCTGTAACCTACAAATAAATGACCACTTGGATCTTGGCTTGGGTCTGGTCAGACGGGAGAAGTTAATGATAGTTGCCCCTGGTTTGGGCCCAGAACTGTTCTTGTATAGTTTTTCACTTGAGTTGCGGCACTTGCCAGGAAACAGTGCCTCATTTTTAGTAGCAATAAATGATGATTATTTCTCTTTCTTCAGATCTTTTGAAATTATCAACCTTTTACAACTATTTTGCACCTAAGGTCTTCCCGATGTAAAAAGTAAGGTAGTTCAGGAATATGACCTTAGCATTTATTTGTAAGTCTGAATCACCCTTTCTTTCTTTATTTTTTCTTTTTACATTTGAAAGGTCCTACTTTTATCAACGAAAAAAAATTACTGTAGCCTCCCTTTTTTGCTTATTATCTTCTTAAAAAGGGCATTTCCATTATAATATGTAACTAAAGAATGAAATGATTCCTGGAAAAGGCAAATCCAGAAAAGGGGAAGCCAAAAAATCTTTTGAGAAATAGCAACTGTATCAAGATTCACATTAATAAAAAAGGATCAACCTACTAGAATGAAGAAAATAAATTGAACGTTAGAAAAAATATATATTTTAACTCAATGTATTACAACGAATTAAAAGTTCTAAGTGGTAATATCTAATCTTTCTCCATCCACAAATAATGAAATAAACATGTAATAAGTAAACAACTAGCAAAGTTGTGATACATAGCATACCAGTTGATTCATCAAAAACCTCCTGCCAATATTCAGGAAGTACTGAATGCCCCCCAGAAACTAGTGCAGGAGCCTCAGTAGGTCTTTCCCACTGACTTTTCCCAGAACTTCCATTATAATAGTATAAAGCACCACTTGCAGGGTCCCTAGCTTCAATCTGCATTCTCAAATTACAGAAAATTATCAACACTATAAACATCAGTATTTTTTAAAGGGAAAAGCGCAAGTGACAAGATCTGTGGTAATTGAAGCGAAAGCGACAAGTAAAGCGTGTGTTTCCTTGAAGTGAAGCACACAATTTATGGAAAATCATAACATACCACATACATGAATTCAGTACTACAATAATCAAATTGCTGTTAAAATAGCTTATTTCAGCGTCTTATATACAACATTGACGACATTAATCCAATTCCTCAAAGTTGAGATGTAAAAAATCGACCATTTCTTATATGGATCATTTTGCTTCATTGTTTGAAGAGCACACTTCTCTGAAGCACATGACTTCATCCATGAAGCGATAACCCCTCGCTTCGCATTGCTAAGCGATGACTTCTAATAACACTGATAAACTCTTGACTTTCTCCACAGAATTCTAAATTGCTAACAAACACATGTAGGTTCAATTTAGAGTTGAAACAATACAACAAAGAAACTTAGTATCATCCATCGATACTACTAAGACAAGTATAAGAACTGCTTTAATGACATACTTCTTGGTTCACTACTATGAAGCCGGAATTGATGACATTCAAGCCTAAGGATGTTGGTGGTGGTCTGAAAGACTAAAACCTGGTGGAGACACCTAACAAGGCGAAAACATAGGAGGCAACATCTCCAGAACACAGTTACTGATAGTTGCAGAGGAGATTTTGACCCTGAACACGGAATTTGCTATGTCCGCGTTTGTTGGTCGTTCCAATGGGCACGAAAATGCAGGAGTGGAGAAGAATGCCTTCCCTTTGGCAATTATTGAAGGGGAAAGAAGACTATCCGAATGGCTGAGGGAGAGGTATTTATGCTTTCGGAGCTTTTTGGCGTGAGTCCTTTGCAAGGATGGAGGATAGAAGATTAATGTGTCCTTTGAAGGGAAGGATAGCCTTTTATCCTTTATTTCATTTGGGTGCACCCATGAAGTCCCTGTAGGTATAGAAATTAGGTGTCATTTGTGGAGAACCATACTCCCTCTATCACTATTTATGTGATGCACATTCCTTTTTAGTTGGGGAAATACATAAGTTGCACCCTGAACTTGTCCGGAGAACTCGGTTGCACACTGGAACCTTACGAGTGTTCATGTTCCCCCTCATTCTTATTTTTAGTGGATATATACCCCCTGAGACATATAACACCACCTTCATGGTTGGGGGTGATATACACTCCCGCCACGTAAGCGCCACCTCACAGACACATTAGTTATTAAATAATTTTACTTTTTTTCTTCTTCTACCACCTCATCTTTGCCCATTTTTTTGTCCTTATTTTCACTTTTTAGCCATTTTTTTCATTATTCCATCTATCAATTTCTAACATCTAAAGTACCTGATCTCCCTTTTTTTCACCACTTCGTAGCTATCTTAAGCTAAATTCTTCACCATCCCCTTCATCAACTCAGCCAACACACCTCCTTTCTCGAGTTAGTGAAGCAAGCAGTTTACGTCAGTGTTATCAAAGGCGAAGAGTGCAAAAAGCTCTAAGGTCTGTTGGGGCTTTAAGAGCAAAGCGCAACTAAAGCGTGGGCTTTAATGAAAAAAGGCGCAACTGGAGAAAAAGTAAAAATATGGATATGTAGTCCAAGACTAATAATTATAAGCATTAAAAGCAAATATATGGACAAAGAAATTGAATTTTCTTACGATAAAGCGAAATATCAATTATTTAATGTCGCATTTTCAGGATTACACTCATTGGCAAGGAAAAGTATGCCTTAGAGCCTTGATGCGACACTAAAGCGCCCACAAAGAGAGGCGAAGCACTCAACATGTTTTGAGCCTCGCTTCAGGGCTTAAGCGCGCCTTTGACAACACTGGTTTACGTCAATAATGGAGAATTGTAATTTTCACACGGTCAACGCCATTGATGTTGAAATTTCTACTGAATTCTAAAATTTGGCTTCAAAAGGAAAATGATCTTCCACGTAAAATGTATTTTAATTTTCTTCTTTTATTTTTAACAAACCCAGAAACTAAAACCTATAAACACAGTGGCGAATTCTACCCACCTCGCGTTACTGGGCACTCACAGAGCATAGATTTTCCACTAATCTTTTTTGCCTATACAATCAAACGTGGCTGCTGAATCATTGGTGGCTCTTCTCTAATATTGTTTAAAAAGAAACTCATGTTAATTGGTTGAAGAAGAACAAAGAAAAAAAAAAAGAAAGAAATGAACCAGATCTATGGCTGAAAATGGTGACAGAGCAAGGAAGAAAGGGAAGGGTGGGGGCGAAGAAGAGAAGGAATAGGGAAGGTACGAGGCCCACTTGTTAAAAATATTTAAAAATAATGAACAAAAAATAAAGAAGATGGACCAACATTTTCAGTTTTGCATTTCCATACGCGCTCATAAATCTTTTATATTTAAAATTGTTCCATGTCAGCTTTTGGGTGGTATATATCCCCTAAAAATAAGAATAAGGGGGAACATGAACGCCCGTAAAGTTCCTTTGTGCAACCGAGTTTTCTGAAAGTTTAGGGTGCAACTTATGTATTTTGCCTTTTTAGTTTGTCCTCAAGAAAATGATACCTTTCTATATTTAGAAACTATTCAACTTTAAACTTTCCATTTTACCCTTAATGAGATGATGATTTATAGCCACACAAAATATATATGGCTTGTTATAAACCACAAGTTTCAAAAGTCTTTCTTAAAATGGGACGGAGGGCGTATCATTTTGTAAGCTTTTCTACTTTTTGGTACACTTCTTGTACAAGGGTGAATCTTTCGTCCATTGTTTATAAAATCCTACTACTTGATAAAAAAGGGAAGGAAGATAGAGTATTGCAATTACTGAACGACAATGAAAGAAATGCTAATGAGTCTAGTGAGTTACGGAAAAGAAGTAGGACGGACGGAAGGGGTAAAAGAGTGGCGAAAGCCCAAAAAGGAAGAAGAATTGTGGTGTAGAAAAGAGCTAGAAGTTGAGGGAGGGGTGAGTTGATGGAGGTCGGAGGAGTGAGAGAAGGAGAAGAAGTTATCTATCAAGGTTAACATCCTATCTTAGAATGCTGAGGGGATTGAATGACCTTAATAAGAGGGCCACCATCAAGGTGGGAGTTAGAGAATGGGGGCAGAATTAGTATGTTTTCAAGAAACAAACATGGAGGTCATAACAGGGGCAATTGCAAAAAGTGTGCTGGAGGGAGATGGGTTAAATACAAGTTGCTTTTGGCGATACACTTTCAGTTGTCAAAGTCTTTCAAGGACCAGACAAGAAAGAGGAAAAAACTAGAGAGTACGAATGCTCTAATTGCCAAAATATCAATCAACAAATAAATAAATTAGACTGAAGCTTTTAACAAATCATAAGCTAACATTCCGTAATTATAGTCAGGTAAAGCTGTCTGACACAAAAAAAAAAGCAATAAATCAAGAACTTCAAAGGAAAGCTTAAACTAGTATATTAAGCCATAACTCACCCATCCCACAGGCAAATTGGCATCTGATGTCTTTGGTAACTGTGCCTTTGAGCTCTGAAATGTGCAGATTACTTCAGATAGAGTTGTTAGAGACATTTTATTTTCAAGAGACAAAGCATGAAGAGGATAATTGGATATTGAAAATTGAGTTCTAGGAACAGAGGTTACTAAGAATTGACTACGAGTATCTCATACGAACCAAAGAGGATTTTTTGGTTTATCACAAAGGTCAGAAGACAGAAAAGATGTCTAATTCAAGATTCTAGTCACCCAGGACCATCTGAAGTACGTCAAATTTAAACAGGAACTAGGAAGATAGCCTGTAACTCATAATCAACTTACATTGCTTGATATGGCATTCTTCTCTATTTCTGAATCAATCTTCAGAATACCTCGAGCCCTCAACTTCTGCTTGAGGTATTCAGGCAACTCTTTACCAACAGAATTATGTCCAGAACTCCCACTAGGCTCTGTACCATGTTGATTTGTTCTGTGACCAGTGATTGTATTTGTCTCTGAATATGAAAAGGCAAAAACAAATAACCCAAAGAATATAATATAGAATTTAGAACAAGATAATAAATACATCGCCCACGGAACAGGAAGCCAGTCTTACTGTAGATCGAGACATCAGGAGTTGAAGCACTGTAATAAGCACCTCCACCTGGCACACCATATCCATTTCCAATTTCCGCATTACCTGGCAAAGGAGAAATTTAACGATTCCTCATCCTGTTGTAATAACACGAAAATTTGAAGTCAAATCGAACTAACTCATCATAGGAAAACTGAAGAGGATTATCCATCTATAACTGTTTCACTTCCAAGTTTCATAATATGGTTCTAGAGCATAACATTCTGTGAAGATGGAAAAGAGCAACCTGTCTCTCCTGTACATGAAATTCTGGCTCAAAACGGGTGAAAGTTTACCATAATTTCCAGAACTAATCAGTCCTTTGCTTTCTTTTTAATACTCAAAATAAGAACTCTTTTCTGATAAAAGTAATGCGGTGCCTACACTAAGAAAGAACAAAAACAGGGTTTGAATTCTGTGCTACTAATCATGTACGAGCACCCATTGTTCTGCAAAGAATGCCAAATCTAAAGCCCTGTCTGTTTTAGTGACGCAATTTACAACGGAATACTCTAGTCTTTATTTACTTGGATCTAGATTCCAGATTGTTCTAATTTTAGGCCTGCTCTGGATTTGTTCAATTTAGGGAAGAGATGGAGTGAGCAAAATCTAAATCTCCCTTTGACCCTACAATTTCTCCACAACAATATAATTTTCCATAGATAAACATAGTAGGGTCAACTATAAAGTGCTTCAACTCCCAAAGTTTGCCAAACAAGAAATAGATCAGTTTCATGCAACATCTGGTAAATCTTCTCGTGCTGGTTGTGGAGGGCACAAGAAGAGGTAGAGGGCGGCCTAAAAAGTATTGGGGAGAGGTGATCAGGCAGGATATGGTGAGGCTTCAGATTTCCGAGGACATGACACTGGATAGGAAGATGTGGAGGTCGAATATTAAAGTTGTAGGTTAGGAGGTAGTTGACTCTTGTCTTACTTCGTACCTTTGTGAGACTAGTCTGGTAGGGTTTTTGCCTAAGACAGCTAGTGGCAACGTACTTTTCAGTGCAGGACCTATTTACTAGCTATCGCTTTTGCTTTGCTTTGCATCTTTCTTCAGGATTTCATGTTGTTCCTATTTTCCCTATGACTTCTATGGTGATACTAATATTGTCTCCTTTTGTCTTTTTGTTTTCTTGAGCCGAGGGTCTTTCGGAAACACCTCTCTACCCCTTTGGGGTAAGGATAAGGTCTGCGTACGCACTACCCTCCCCAGACCTCACTAGTGGGATTTTACAGGGCTGTTGTTGTTGTTGTATTTGTTGTTGTCGATTAATAAAATACCTTTTTTTATATGTAGATACAAAATACCTATTAACTCATCTTCCAAGGTCAAACTGTCATAATATACCTTAAGCTTGAAGAGATAGTGTTAGACTGTACCTCTCTTGCCATTATGAATTCTTCCCCAACAAAATAAGCCAAAATTAGCACATAAAACAAAAGGCAAAAGAATGAGGATCATCCAGATAAAGCCAATAGGTGTTAACAAATTCATTTTGTTGACTTTCCGTGCCTTCATATGCTGCAAGTAAACATATATCTATACTTGTGAAGGAAAAGGTAGGACTTTTTTTCAATTTACATTTTAGTTGTTTCATTACTTCTGGCAGTAACCATTGGTAACATGTACAATTCAGTTGTTTCATGGCCTGCGAAAATATTAAAAGTTAAAAAGAAAACGTTTGTAATAAATTTATTCTATGTTTTTATTATGACATCATCACAAGGATATCAACTGTTCCATATAAATTGCACGAAGATACCAACCTTCCTCAGGCTGTGTCGCCTTGCCACGCTTTAAGGCCATTTGCACTCGATGCTCTGCCGTCATTTGGAGTAAATGCTCCTATAAATTGCAGTTAGCAGACCGACTTAGTAAGGCCAACTAGAAAATGTGTTGCCATGAAGATATCACAACAAAGGTAACAAAGAGTCCTAAAATAATTCAAACACCTTTAAAGCATTTCGGTCATGTCGACCTGAGAAAATATCTGAACTATCCTCAGGTCCGCTTGCAGGCCTTGCTTCTCTGGATTTGAGAAGTGAAATTGTCGTAAAACACCCATTTATTTAGTATAGTTTTAGTTTCATAAAGTTACAAAACAAAAGCAACAAAGACAAACCTTTGACTTTGTATTACTTTCTGGGCTGCAATTTCCTGTGCAGGCAAACAAATAATTTAGATCAATATAAATGAAGAAAGAAATAAAGGACGAATAAATAGGGTACAACAGACCTGTTCATGCAGAACAGCATTCTGAGCAGCACTCTCAAGATCATTAGTACTTTGCGGCTGCAACTTTAATCCGTTAGCAGATTCCAAATTGGACGGTAATGTATTGAGTATAGCCTCAGAAGACTCTTGTCCAGAGGTACGAAAAGTTTCAGAGCAAGGTTGAATAGAAGGAACAACAGGGAAAAGAGTGCCATCGCCATTGCCAGCACTGTAATGAGAATTAGCAGTTGTCTGAAAGGAGTGAGGCAAATGGCCTGCAGGATTATAAGTTGGCACAAGCGGTGAAGAATTTGACATAGAAACTCCAGGTGGAAGTGGCTGTTCAGTATGGTCATCCATAAATATCAAACATAAGTATCCAATATCTTCAAGTTCCAGAACTTTGAAGAGTCAAATATTCACGATACCAGGCTGGCCAAGAATCAGTCCACCTGCATACAAAAGTCTGCGAAGGATGAGTTCAATAGACAGATATTATTGCTGTGCAAGTTGACTGGTGAGAAAAGGATCATAATCAATGTCTTCAATAAACAGAAAAAAGGAAGAAAATAGATAAACTGAGGTGTGGCTTTAGCATTGGGAGAACCGATCCAATTCAAAGTTTTATTTTTTATAAGAACGGAGAATGCTCTCACTAAATGCTTTTCTGTCAACCCATTTTGCTTCTTTCAGGAAGCTTCCCAAGTTGAGAAACTTATTCACAATTTTATAAATCACTAGAAGACATGGTGTCTACTGTTCATAGCATTGAGTTTCATCCTAAAACTCTGAAAGCAGCAAACAAAATCGAACAACTGTTCTCTCATTGATTTACCATTCGAACTCAAGCAAGCACTCATTATTTATCCAAAATAGAATAGATCAATTGCTACTCATTCAACCAGCAGATAAGATTTGATCTAAAACAACAGCCAGTCGGGAAGGTGATAAAATTTTGCAAAAAGTGGTCCTCCTTCTGAATGCAAAGGTCATTATCCTTGTCTTCTACCTTTTAACTGGAAAAACTTTCATGTCAAATACTCTGATTGTCTTGAATTAAATCTAATAATTCCAAACTAGGTGGACTATTCTAACGATGTATGTCTATCTTGAAAACTGGATAAATTCAAAAGATGACACACAATTAGAGTTGCCAGCAGGTCCGGCACTAAATCCTAAGAGGAATGTCGGTAAATGTGCCTTCCATCCTCTTTCATCTGCTCGAATTTCTGCCTCTTCACTGCTCAAGCCCTCCTTCCTACTGCTCAGAATATTCCAAAACACCCTTCCTTAGCAAGACAACTCAGCATTGCTAGATTCATTCATTTACAACATTAATTAAAACATCAAATTGTAGATGCTTTAAATGTCCAAGAAGCAGTTTAGAAAAAAACTAATTTGTATCAGATGAATAGCTAGTATGCACAATCCACAAAGGACAATGATAACCTGCAAAACATTCGATTCACAAAATGGAATGCAAGGGAGGAGCAGAAAATGAGAAGGGGTCAATTATTTTGTTCCGTAGAAAATTATTATCCCTCCTCCCCTGATATTGTTTTTGCGGCTTAATGACAACTAAAAAAGAAAGTCTCCTCTTCACATCCAGATTTATAAAGCACTCTCCAATTGTCCCGTACTTCGCTTCCTTAAATCCTTCCTCTTCTCCCCCACATTACAGTAATGAAGGAATGTGCACTTCCTCGGCAACCCTTAAACGTAAAATATTTATCCTACTTTACAACATTGAAAATGGATTCTTCACTTCACTCATACATGATCAAATCGTTAATATTGCACGCTGATCCAGTAGAAACATAGGGGAAGTCTTGCATAGAAAAGATATGGAATCGCTGCCTAACAATGTGATCAACCTTTCATCTAGCACCTAAGTGAAGCCTATCAAAGTGGCCCAATCCACAGTCTTTAAGTGACAGAGGATTTTCATCGAACACCAAACGTGCAATTGATACGTATTAGCACAACAAGATTACATAGGAATCTATTAGGCAGCATTTCGAGTCAAATGCTTGTTCGCCACGTACAAGGATAATTTCTTTGGCGCAGTTCTCATGAAGGTCCTAGAGTAGCGAGTCAAATATGAGAGAGAAACACAGGGTTCGCCGTACTATGATGAAGTCTAGTACAGTTCTCTCATTAAAAGGTGTATGAGAAATTTTAAAGTTATAAAACAAATTGGAATCTGTAATTCGATGAATACAATACAATATTTGTGGAAATCTAACCTCAAAGGAGTAGGGCTTTTGCTGCTATGCTGGAAGTTGAGATGACGAGAAAGAAGCTGGCTGGATATGGGACTTAGGGAGTTTGGTTTATAGGAGAGCGTATAAGCACTGCAGTGAAATGTAGGCTGAAAGGACGAGAGCGGGGGATGAAGAAAAGAAAATACACAGACCCTCACCGGCTCCAACACCCCGATTTCAACCCCAGAAAAGAAAAATTCACAAATAATACTCCGTAGTTACTACTGTAATAATAAGGGCGCCAACTATTTACAACATTCGGAAAAGAAATGTTGCTTTAACTCAAACAATTTATTCCAAAATATTATTACTTTGAGAGCATGGGGCAGTCTGGTGCACTAGATATTTAACAGGAATAAGCTAAAGTGGTTGTTAAAACAAGACGGAGTGAGTTTTATATTATTAAATGAGAATTGGGATAATATATATATATATATATATATATATATATATATATATATATATATATATATTTTTATATNATAAAAGGTATAAATATCCAATAGAACAGTCGAGGTATATATACATTGATCACGACAATAATAAAATGAAAAGGAGAGAATATTGGACTCCCATTTTCATACCTTAGTGTAGAATTAATAAACATATCATTTCAGCATGTTGTAAAATCTTCGGAATGTCTTGTGTAAATACCCATAATTTTCTCTCCCAAATCTCCACTCAAACCACTTCAACACCCTCCAATAATAATCCTTCTCATATTAATACATCCATCTAGCTCTTAGGGATATCCCATCGTTAAGAGCAAAGAGAGAAAGCAAGAAAAGCTTCGGTGAATTCTAAGACCTTTCCTAGTTTTCTAAGCAAGAAAATATGGGGAAGAAAGTCACAGCTGGTCAAGCTTCAAAATCACATAAGATCATCTCCAAGAATAATAACCATATTCATGACAACAAGAAACAACTCAACAACTTGATCAAATTCTTGAAACCCAAAGTTTATATCACAAACTCTTCAAACTTCAAGAATCTTGTCCAAGAACTCACTGGCAATGGATCATCAAGTCCTATGATCTCATCCCCACCTCCTCCTGATCATCATCACGATCACGATCAACGGTTGCAATTCATTGATCACCAATATCAAGAATATAGCCAGGAGTTATCCATAGATTCATCAAAAGGAAGTATTCCATCATCCTTTAATACATTTGAAGCTTCTTTCCAAGAACCATCTTTCAGTTGGTTGGATAGTAATAATTATTCCAATATGGGAAACCAAGATCAAATGGATTTTTCTGAAGAATATAGAAATATAGAGACATGGCTATTGGAGATGGATTCATATACTAGCTATCATCATCAGTATGAAGGACACGTTCCGTTTATTCAAGAACAGGTTTCTGTTGATGATTATTCCAGTCTTTTGTGAGACTTAATTAGCTAATAAGTCTCGTGTGTGCATGATTATCTGGACTACTTACGTACTGTTCATATCTAGCTATGTATATAGAAAGTACTGTAAATGGTTGTGTATATATATATATATATATATATATATATATATATATATATATATATGTTTTTTTATATTTAATTCGCGTGTTCCTTAATTATTTCATCGGTTATTTTACATTTTTCGGCTAGCACAAACATAAGTTTACTCTGTTGACACTTTGATGTGCACCTACTTCGTCCTATTTCATTTACCTAGTAAGCCTCTTTTTTCTGTTCTTGAGCCGATGGTCTACTGGAAACAGTCTTTTTACCTTCATAAGTTAGGGGTAAGGTCTGCATAATATCTCACTTGTGAAATTTTACTGGATGTATTGTTGTAATTGTTGTATTGTTACCACAAAGCACCATTAGAAATTGGGATAATATATTACTCACAATTGGCTCCGAATTGTTAACTATACACCTATGTTTCGTGACAGTCATATTACATCTCTCGCTTTTTGTTAAAACTAAACTTATCACCACCTTTACTAGAAGTTGTTGCTCCCCGATTGTTACTATTTGATGTTACTTTTTCTCCTCTTTTTCCTTATAGTCTTTTGTCTCCTTCATCTGTCTTTCTCCCCCCTCTTTCTTCTTCTTCCTTGCCACCTTCTCTTGAGTCGAGGGTCTATCGGAAACAGCCTCTCTACCTCCCCAGGTAGGGGTAAGGTCTACTTACACATTACCCTTCTCGGACCCCACTTGTGGGATTGTACTGGATATGTTGTTGTTGTTGTTGTTGTTGTTGTTGTTGTATACTTATTAACACCTTAAGGTGTCACGTATATTTAACTTATTTTCACTACTTCTCCTATTGTATCGGAAAAACTTTTGTTGCATACAGTAGTCGGAATATCTAATTTTTTGAATATTTTCAGACCGTTTTGGTGTAGTCAGAACAAAAAGTATGTTAGAAAATATTTTTCGACTACTGTAGAGTGCTCGGACAATTTAGTTTGCCAGAAGATCAGAAAATAATCGAACTTTTTGACTACAGTAATCGAAAAATTAATTAAATAATTTTTTATTTCTCTATATATTTTTAACTACAGCAGTCGGAATATTAAAATAAAAAATAATTATTTATTAAAATTTTCAACTACCATAGTCGGAGAATTTAAATTTCTTGGAAAGTGCATTAGATTTTTCGACTAGTATAGTTGAAAATTCATTTTTCTGGAAAAAAAATGTCCACTTCCGACCACTTTCGAATTACACTAAAACTGGGCATCCTTTTAACATAATTCTGCTGTTTTGTTGGCTATACCACTTGCTAAATAACCAAAATTTAATAATCCAACCAAACATCAAATTCCAGACAATCAAACTTAAGAAGATTCAAATAACTAAAGCCTTCAACAAATAAACATTTAAACCCATTAAAAAACCAAACTAAAGTATTAATCAAAGTCTAAAATTCAAATCACACTCAGCGCTGCTGGGACCAACTCCGGTATGTACACAAGAAGTGCAGATGTAGTATGAGTACAACCGATCTCATGTACTCTATAAGTGTCGAGCCTAACCTCGACAAAATAGTGACGAGATTAAGACGGGTCACTTACATTTACCTTTACGCGATCATAATAATAACATAAAAGACTGGAATGGAAATAAAGCAGTTAACTCATAACTACGAACTCAAAATTCAACTACCAGAGAGCCTAGAATAACAAGTCTTATGAACTCATCTCAAATACAGATGTAAATCCAACAGTCACAAACAAATACAACTTATACAATCCGTTGTGGCGCGCAACCCGATCCCACCATATCATCTGTCAATATCATAATCCACTCTTATTTCACCGTTTCAATTTCATTGCCTTTCAATTTTCGTTGCGGCGTGCAACCCGCTCCCCAAACAATTTCAATCAACAATAGCAATTGAACGACCGAAATTTACAAGATTTCTCGATCAAGAGAGTAATTGTACGAGGCAATAAAGATTCACATAATAATCAAAGAATCTCTAGTAACTCGAATGTCTCAATTTTACCAACTCATCGATATCTACCAATTAACAACTCATACAAGTGAAACTACGTTATAGAAGGAAACAAATTTTATAGAACTATAAGACAAGTATGACATATGACAATTTAAATATGCAAGTAAAGCAAGTGGAGACAAATAGCAAATAAGCATGGAATCACGGAAGGGATGGACAATTTAATACAAAGATAACTAAATGACACGTAACAATTATGACATGAAAGTCAAATACACATGTAGCAATTAAGGCATGAAAACAAGATATATTATGAAGTAACAAAACATGGAAGCAAGTAGCATAACGAGGCATATACACTCGTCACCTCACATATACGCTGTTTCCCACGTAATTCACATAACAAGTAGATCAAAGGTTCCTAATTCCCTCAAATCAAGGTTAGACCCAACACTCACCTCACTCCGCAACTCAAGCAATCAATCAACCACGGTCTTGCCTTTTGAACAAGCCTCCAAACCAACCAAATCTAGCAAATTATTGACCAAATGATTCAAAATAAGCTTTAGAAACTATCCACAAAAGAAAAAGGTTCAATTTAGATCATTTTTGAAAAAGTCAACCCCGGGTTCGCTTGGTCAAAATCGAGATTCGGTCCAAACCCGATTATCCATTTACCCACGAGCTCGGCTATGTGATTTATTTCGAAATACAACCCCAATTCGAGGTCTAAGTCTCAATTTTACAAAAATCTCTAATTCTACCCAAATTCCTAATTTCTACCATGAAAACCCTCAATTTGATATTGATCTCATGAAATGTAATGGGTAATTGAAAAAAAATGGATTAAAGTCACTCACCAATGAATTTGAGAAGAAAAGTCTCTTGGAAAATCGCCTCTAGAGTGTTTAGGATTGAGAAATGAGGAGAAATGAGCTAAGTCCCGTTCTTCCCCTCTTTTACTCAGCTGCAGATGTCGCAATTACTATGTCTTGTTCGCAATTGCAAACACGGCAAATGCTAGACAAGGATCACAAATGCGAAACGTGTCAGAAAAGCACCACCATCGCAAATGCGGTCAAGAACTTCGAAAATGCGAAGCAGACTCCAGTGGACAGTGATCGCAAATGCGTCCACTTCCTTCGCAAAAGCGAAAGTCCACAGTTCGCAAATGCGAACAAATTCTCGCAAATGCGAGGTTCACCCAGCCCAGCCTATTCTCGCAAATGCGAATACTTCTTCGCAAAAGCGAGGCTCGCAATTGCGAGATCTGCAACGGAGCATCAAAACTGGTACTACACCAGCAGTCTTCACACTAGCAAAACTTATTCGAAACACGTTCGAAACTCACCCGAGCCCTTCGGGCTCCAAACCAAACATGCACACAAGTATAATAACATCATACGAACTTGCTCGCGCAATCAAACCACAAAAATAACATCTGAATCTACGAATCAATCATCAAAACGAATGAAATTTCAAAGTGAAACTCAAGAATACTAGAATCACATTTACGCGTCCGAATCATGTCAAATCAATTCCGAATTGAACCAAATTTTGCGGACAAGTTTCAAATAGCGATTTAGACCTATTCCAAGTTTCAACCTCAAAATCCGAACCCGTTAGCTAAGAAGTCAACCTACGGTCAAACCTAGTAATTTTCAACTTTCAAAAATGCTAGTTTTCGGCAAAATCCGTCAAAACAAGTTAGGGACTTCCAAATTCAATTCCGGGCTTACGCCCATGTCCCAAATTACGATACAGACCAACGGAGATCATCAAAATACCGGTCCGGGTCTGTTTACACAAAATGTTGATCGTAGTCAACTCAAACCATTTTAAAGGCAAAAATTCATATTTTCTTCAATTTTTCACTTAAAGACTTTTC